TCATTATAAACATTACAATAATGATGAGGTTGATTGTGATTTTCTATCATTTCCACACATGTAGAATGGCCCTGCAGGACATGGAATTGGTTTTTTAATTTGAAACTAATTTCAAGATGACGAATATTCTTCTACGAAGGACCAAACTTTAATAATTGAAAAAACTTTCCTTATGAAGTTGTTAGTGAAATGACTAGTGAATAGTGGTTATTTAGTGGTATGTCCAGACGAGAAGGAAGAAACTGCATCGCATCAGACTGAGATATCTTGGTGGAAGATTTTTTCATAACCTGGACAAATATTTTCAAAATTTTTAGAACTGCTAAATGGTTTTAAGGGTATCATAATAGATCAAAGCTGCCTTTCCAGATTTTGATTAGAAATTTAAAGCTAAAGATGATAGAACAAACAAATTACTCGTTTTATTACAGTGGTGAGTTCGATTCCTACCAGATACACTATCGAAAGAGTGCACAACAGGCCCGATAGTGGTTTAAGCGTCTACTAACTACTACTACTTCGTAGGTTAGTTGGCATTGTTCTAGTCCGTCAGTACATACCAGGTTGTGGTTTCGATACCCACCAGAGACTCTGGCAGAGGAGAACACAACAAACCCAATAGTGATCTAATATGTCATACATCCTTCTTTCAAACTAACTAAGATTAATTCACGTAAATTCGAAATTTCTAATCGAATTAATCAATAAACCCATTATTAAACTAGTGATATCACTGCTTACAGGTAATGCAGCGATAACAAACTGCTTTCAAAACTTCAGGGCACTTTGTTAAGATAATTTTATTGTGTTTGTACATTCTAGTGTTTGTATCATTTACCATTCCTTTAAAGCTTTTGGATTTTTTTTTTGTAGTCTTCTTGCTTTATTCACATTGTGTTTTTTGCTCTATTGATTTTTAACATAATCAAACATTATATAGCAGTAGATGTTATTTGTAAGGATGTGTAGACAACGAGTGTATTGTATCTGTCTGTCTTCGTCTTCGATTTGATGTGGCTGCGTTGATATGTATATTTGTATGAATGTAAATATGAATGTTTTGCTATGATGAACAAATGTGTTTGTCTTCGTATCTATACATTTATATTTTATAATCTTTATCAAACATACACAAACACACACACACACTTTCCAACTCATTCAATAAGTCCTGTCTTACTATATTAAGTAAGTTGACTGTGTCTTTATATTATACATGTATGTATATTAAGCTGGTTCCCCCAAAAAATTGGTCATTATTCAATTTTTTTGTCTTTATAAATAGTAGTTCAAAATTTTTCTGTTTTTCCCGGAAACTAATGGTTTAAATAAAATACAAGTAAGAAATTATAGTCGGGCGTGGCCGACCATATAATACCCTACACCTGTTACAAAAATAAAATGTGATTAAGTTTTCATTATAAAGCATTTAAGTTGTACTGTACCTTGCCTCAGATATACCTAATTTATTTATTATTGAATAAAATTGTGGACATTTAAGTCAAATTTTGAAGGGAGCTTTGTATAGGGGCTAGGGTCAAATGAGACCCTATAATTATAAAATTCATGAGGGTCATCAAGGCTAGTATAGAACTTGGTTTTGCAGCTTTTTGTCGAGATACCAGTATATTAAACATAATTATGAACTTAAAAGCCCTATTCGGCGGGTTCAGTTGTATGGTCTAGGTGAAATAATGGACCGATGTTCACCATTTTCAATAGGCTCCGTCTCTGGTACCATAGAAGATCATGTGTCAAATTTCATAGAATTATCTTCAAAATTGCGATCTGTAGTTTGATTACAAGTTTTACAAGCCCTATTCGGGGGTCCACTTGTATGGGGGCTAGGTGAAATAATAGACCAATCTTAACCATTTTCAATAGACTTCCCTGGACAATAGAAGATCATGTACCAAATTTCATTGAATTATCTTCAAAATTCCGACCTGTAGTTTGATTACAAGGTTTACATGGACGGACGGACAGACGGACGGACATACCTAAATCGACTCAGAAAATGATTCATAACCGATTGGTATACTTTAAGGTGGGTATAGGACCAATTTTATTGTGCGTTACAAACATCAGCACAAACCCCACTAAAGTAGTGTAGGGTATAAAAATAGGTAAGTTTAATCGTATTCCTGCATAGTTTAGGTGATCAGAAACTCAGTTTCCTGGACGTAGTTTTTAGAATTTTACAAACTTGTTCCTCTAAAATAACATCGCGCTCAAGATATTTGGATCAAATATATTCATTCTAAAGTGGCATCTAATACTGCCCTTGTTTCTCGCCCTAGTTGTGCCGAACAGTTTTGAGTTCGTCAGGTTAACTTCTTAAAGTTCCCTTCACTTTATAGCAAATACCTTCGCTCTTTCATTGCCGATTATCCAATTATCTTTTACAGTCCAATACGACGGTGTTCTCTAATGACCGCGATCTTCTATCTGGAACTAATGTCTCACAGTCAATGACAATTTCTCTTTCCGGTATGACCTAGGGTATGACTGGTTTTTGTGTATAACCTGTCCTGTAAGCGACTTTTGTTAATTCTCCTAAAGATAAGAGCAATACGACCGCTTCATATCTTTTATGTGTTTTGATCGATGGAATTTGTTGGACCCAATTACACCCAAATGTACGCTGAACTCCCTGTAATGGAATTCGTATGATGCACTTTTTGTAAAAGAAGACACGTACATACGTTAGTATTGATCTTATTACTCTTTTATAAAGCCAATCATTAATGGACTGAGACCACATTTCGAGCCCATGAGCGTCTTAATGATTTCCTTTTTGGGTTTATACTCTCTATGGTGTATACACATGTGCAAGGTATGTTGACTATATATAGCGGTATCGATGAATGCAATCGTAAGGAGTACAGAGAAAAAAGTTTCGATATTGTTTGATTTTCGGACTCAAAGGGTTTTAATAGGTCAGTTTTGACGATATTCCCTGTCGTAAGGTAATAAGTCAGGTTTTGAAGAACTACAAACTGGAAGACTAAGGTTTGAACTAGTTTTTAACATAGGACCCAGTTTTGGAGCATATAGTGTTCTATTCTAGTTGGTTAAAAGCCAGATGTTTGGATCAATAATTGACAACTCAGATACATATGTATGTATGTGGCTGAACAAATTCGTTTAAAGTATATACGGGGGTGAACAGAGTTCATAAGATAAATGATCGGAGCATATAGTGTTCTATTCTAGTTGGTTAAAAGCCAGATGTTTGGATCAATAATTGACAACTCAGATACATATGTATGTATGTGGCTGAACAAATTCGTTTAAAGTATATACTGGGGTGAACAGAGTTCATGAGATAAATGATCGGTGGCTCCCTTCTAGAAAGAATTTAACAGTCCGGTGCTTTTTAAATCGCAGAAGTATTGGTTGGCTTGATTAGGCTAGAAGGAATAGGAAAGCGGGAGTGGCATAAGGGACTAGTGATAGCTGTGAGACTAGAATGGACACTGTTAACATAGGTAATTGTGTCTTCTCTGATCGATGCAGCAAAGCATTGGAGGTAACAAACTAGAGTCTTGCTCTTTAGTAAACTGCTTGTGTATGGTCCGTCCACCCTGAGTGTTCTTAACAATTTATTTAGTATGTCGTAGAACAGTTCCCTCCATCCAGTGTTTAAAGAGTCCTCTGTATGCTTGGATCTTGGCGGACATACGTTTAGGAACGTACTTTTGTCCTATTGCTATCTGTCAGAAATTTTTAGTTTTTTAGAGGATTTGGATGGGGATTGGATTACTCAGATCAGATGGTTATGGTCGAGATTCCTGGATACCGTTTAAACTTATTACTCATCAAAATTGACGTTTATTCTGCATAATGTTTATCTCTTTCAGAGGTGAGATTTAAATGATCATCTTTCCAGAAAGATTTCTGAAGCTGCAGGTCTATAGTAAAATGCCGCATCAATCGTTGAAGTTCTGCAGGATCTGTGCAGTATATAGAAAACATTGGCCGGCAATATTTCAAACTTCACTTTTATAATATGATCGGAATCAATAATCTTCTGTACTCTAACACATTTAGATTCACCGCATGGTTAGCTTAACGAAATTTAATCCCTAATTGAGTTATCAGAGCAACAACTAAGTCAAGTGGGGCCATCTTAATACACATAAACTCACATACAAATATTACTATATGTGTGTGTACATTGTTGGTTTCCTTTCTATTCTTCTCTACTCTCTGCTCGTATTGTTTTATTCTTCCTTATTGTAAACAAAATGGACTATTGTACGAGTGAATGTTCATTTGTTTGTAACCAAACGATTGAATGTGTGCGTGTTTTTTAAGTTTGTTTTGGTTTACTGGTGTTTGATGATTCAATACAGATTGTGTGATGTTGTTGGTTTTTCATATAAAAAAAGAATTTTCCACTATTTATGTTCTATTCGTTTTGTGTTTTTTGCTCTCTGAATGTGTGAAATTTAACGTATTTGAATGAGTTTATTTTTACACTTTTCATTCACAAGGTTGATTTTTTATACGTTTTTTTACTCATTTTAATTTAGAAAAGGAAGTTGAAGGTTTGTGTGAAAGTATGCGTATTTTTATATTTGTATTTCTCAGTATGTGTTTGTTTAATATTAAACACAAATAAACCCTTTTATTGTTGTTGTATTTAATAGCTTAATTTTGAAATTTGAAAATTTTTTAAATTTAGTTATCTATTATAAGCTAGGGATTCATATATTTTTCTTAAGTCATTCATCCGTTATTTATATACATATATAGTATGTATGTATTGGTTTTCTACCCTTTTCAATGAATATATAAATACCTATTCGATAATTTTAATTAAAATAAAAAACTCATGAAATTTGAAACCCTTTATTTTTAACCAAAAAAATTGTTTATGTTTAAAATAATAATTCTTTTAATATTAGGTTTCTTTCAATATTTATTTATACACTTATCTAACTGTTTTCATTATTAACTTTTTTATTTTCTTTTTTTTTTTAATTTCTTTCTAGGAATATGAAATTAAAGACCATCGACCGTTTCTATCACTCAATCAAAGTGGCCTAAATAAACCTGATCAAATTAAATTTGCACGTTATCTTGGACAAGGTTTACCAACATTTACTCTATTTTGCATTTATAGTAATTTTAAAAATTTATTTTGCACTAAACGTACCGAAATGTAAGTATTACCAGTTTTTTTTTCATCAATATATTTTAATTTTGAATTTTTTTTAAAATAAACTCCTAGTTTAAGCATTGGTTAAGCAATTCCGATAATAAACCAGCTGTTCCACATTAGCTATAAGTATTGGTTATTGTGGCCTCTGTATACCAACTGGTTAACTACTAAAATTAATCAATACAGTACAGATCCCCAGTATTATTTAAGAAAATGTTTTAAGTGCCCTTCTCAATGTAAATACATTTTTGGATTTTAAGCTATTAGCATTTATTTTATCTCTGAATCCACTCTTTCTTCCCGAACAACCAGTAAATTAGGTTGTTCATCCTTCTTTTGGAGAAGACGCATTTGTCTTTTTATAGAAACTTTTGTGTCCGGAGCTAAATTAGTATATTTTACATATATTGTATTTTGTACAAAATCATTTCCGAGATGAGAATCAATAAGTCTCCAGGGACAAGAAATCATGTTGGTCTTATTTCACCGCGGTACTTTTATAATCACAGGTTAAGCCGTTTCTTAACATCCGAGATTCAAAAACATCACTGCCGTTTACATCCCCGTTAATGGGATGGCCTCTGTTGGTTCGGCAGCAACAGCTAGAGACGTAATCGGTAGAACGAATTACGAAACCATCAAATAATCCGAAGACTTGTTCTCAATCACAGAGAACACATTGTTGTAAATCTGGTATGAACTGAGTAAACCCTGAACATACCCTTACAAGGAAGTATAAATCAATGGTATCACTTGTATAAGATACCTCACATCCATCACTATTCAACCCAACACACTTCTCATTTATCCGACACATTTATTAAGAAAAGCATCTAACACTCTCACTTTAGGTATACGGATTGGTGAGGTCCACATACTCCTACATCCATTCCCAATCTTTTATACTTAACACCAAGTAATTTCCAAAACATCGAACTACCAACATCGAAATTATCTCGAAATATATGTAGATTTCACAATGTATGTATGTGTAATTTAACCAACATAATCTTTCCTCAAAAGGTTCTCTGTAATTGCCGTGACAAAACAAAGTCTGCCCTGTGGACTACCAGGTTAAAGTCCTCTGTTTTCCCCCGAGTTATTATAACACAAAGATGTGAAGATCATTAAGGTAACGAGCCCCTGGGGAACAAAAGCTTAAAAGTAAACTTGTCCTAGGGGCATGACATATAGAGGCTAAGTTGACCTCGTAATGAGACAGATGGTTTCAGTCAACCTGATTTGAGCTATTTCATATAGTTCAATGCCTCCATTCCTTGCGATTTCGTCAGCTATACAGTTTCCCTGACAGTTGTTATGTCCAAGGACCCATATTATACATAACCCGATAGGTAATAATGACACATCCAGCATTCCGCTCGTTTGATAACAGCTAATTGTGCTATTTGTAAAACACTACAATAATTAGATAGCCTAAAAGAGTATTTGATTCTTTCAATCTAGAGGCTACCACATACCACTCCTTTTAGAGCCATCAGTGCAAATCTTCGTTACAACATTAGCTGAATAGGGCTCAGATACTGAATACGCAAAATGGTCATTAAAAACCAATCTGTATAAAGGAAATCTAAATAATTATTTTCGACTATAAGTATTATGCATAGTTGAAATTAAAATGGGCGTGCTCAGAAAGTGGGCGTCACACCTCCAATTATAGAATATATCTATAAATGTTTCACTGTCAGTATCAAAAAGTTAGAAGAATTTCATAATTATTTGTTTAATTCATTTAGTAGAAATAAAAATGGGCAGGATATGAATTGTGGGCACATTCCAGTCAAATTAATATTTGTATTGTATATTTAAAATATATCGTCTACCAAATCTGTGCACAAGTAATATTATATATATTTTGCGTAATTTATATCAAAATGGGCGGAATAAAAATTGAGGGCATGGCATCCCCTATAAAAACAAATAGTTATTATTGTATGAAGATTCGGCATAGTTAAATATTGCGCTCTTGTAACTATCAATAATATTCACCAGTTATCGTTCTAAATATCTCTTAACACTGCTTAAAAGCGATGAATTTGTGGTCTCTTTGGTAGAGTTAGAAGTTGCGTTTTTCTTTTTGCCAGTGCTAGTGGAGGTTTAAAATGTTATATTAACTTAATTTTAAATATTTAAAAACTTTCTTTAAATTAAATTCTATAATCTTATTCGGTTTTCTCTCTCTCTCTCTAATTGCAGATACACAAAGGATGGCTATAATTTGCCTTATATCTTAGATAAAATAAAGCGCTTCCTAGCAAATACAACAGCGGGTAAGTTCATCATTAAATATGATAATGAATAATAAAGACTGCACACAACAGACCAAAAAAACACACAGAGCGGGGCAGAAAGACCGACGACCAGTTTTTGTACCAAAGACTGTAGAAACAACACAGTGTTGGTTCGTTCCTTCGTTCGTTCATAAATGTACAAAGTTCGTATACAAAATTTTTAATTTTCTAATTAAATAAAATTTTTAGTTTCGTTTTTTTTTTCTTATTTTGTTTATGTTTATAATGGCTATACATTAATTATAATTGTTATTTTTTTGGTAATTTTTATTTTTAATTTTACTAAACAAAAATTATCTAAATTATTTATGATTTTCCTGTTTTTTGTTTGTTCATTATGTTATTTGTTTTTTTTTTCGTTTATTTTATCTTTTCATATTGTATAATTGGCATAAATTATGTTTAGGTAATAATAACAATAATGCCTCAAACTCATCCTCCACAACAACTAAGGATAGTTCCAGTAATATAAATTCCACAAATCCAAATACCACCACCTCAACCAACACCCCCAACAACACAACAGCAGCTAATGTGAATGCTAATAATACAAATAATTCAAATAATAACGTAAATAGTAATAATGCTGCAAACGCAGTGCCAGTGGCCATGCAGAATGGCAACAGCAATGGCAGCAACAGTAGTGGCAGTGTTGGTGGCGCCGGCAATGATAATGGCAACACTAAAGGCAGTAGCTGTAGCAGCAGCAACATTATTAGTAATGATATTATAATAAATACACCAACTAAACAAATTCATAATGTGCCATCACCAGCTACACCAAGAACACCACAAATACAACAACAGCAACAACACCATCAGCAGCAGCAAACGCCACAAATACCAATACAAACACAAAATACCCCTTTACCAGCACATCCACCAACAACACATCCCTCCCATCACCCACTAATGGCAGCAAATCATCCAGCTACACCCCAAACACATTTACAACAACAACAGCAGCAGCAGCAACATCTTCACAATCATCAACAGCTACTGCAGCATCCACATCATCAGCAGCAACAACAACATCATCTTGTACAAATGCCCATGAGTCCTATGGTTGTTGTTACCACTGCCGCACCTACCAGCATGATGGTGGCTTCACCTTTGCCCCCCACGACAGCAACAGTAACACAATCTTCTACAACTAATCACAACAATCAACATCCCCATCATATGCAGCCAAATAATCATTTACCCCTACATCAACATCCGCATACGCACCATCATCATCATGTTGTCCACACAGTTACCACCGCCCAGCCTTCCCCAATACAGCAACAACAACAACATCATACTACTACTGCTGCTATTGTCTACCAACAGCAACAACAACATCATCACCACCAGCAGCAGCAGCAACATCCTCATCATCAACAACAGCAACAACTACAAAATCATCATCCGCTACACAATTTAGCTGCTCAAAATCCTCCCCTCTAAAATATTTGTATTCAAAATAATTTTCATTTTGTCTCATTTTTATTATTATTTTTATTTTTTTAATTGTATTTTTGAGCGCCTTGTTCTAAATTTCTCTGTTTCTGCTGCTCGTATTAGAGCTTATTTTCTTTTTTCATTTAATTTTCTGTATTTTATTTAGATTTTAACAAATTTGTTTGCATTTTACTCAAAATTTTATTTTGTACATTCATTGTATGTGCGTGTGTGTGTGAGTGTATGCGTTGTTTTTAATTTAATAATTCACTATATTTTCAATTTCAATTCGGCTGCTATTGCAACAAGAATTGTTTATTTAAAAGGAATTATATATTTGTTGTATATTTTGTATTTCGTAAAACAAATGATGACAGAAATTACCCTCTTTCTGCCATCATGGAAACGTTTTTGTTCATTTTTAGCTTATTTTTATTTAATGCATAATATTTAAGGGGGAATTTTAAATGTACATTGTGGAAAAATATTACAATTCTGTTCAGTTTTTATTAAACAATAATTTAAAATATAGTTTTCCATTAGAAAGATGTCTGCTTTAGAAAGTTTCTTATTAGGAAGATATCTTCTTTACACAGCTTTCTATTACAAAATTGAGTTCTGTAGACAATTTTCTTTTGAAAGGTGTAGTTATTGAAATAATTTAAATTATTTATTTTATTGTTTTTGCTTAATTTTACAAATGTATTAATTCTTAAAGATGCTAATTTTGAAACCGCTTGGTGTTTTTTCTATTGACATCAAACTCATCTTGTTTTGTGTTCGGAATACAGTAGCAATTACTAACAAAATTAACTGTTTAGAGTTTCACATTTTGAAAATGTTGCCCTCTCCAATCTCAAAACAGACTGAAGAGTTTTATTGTTGTTTTTGAAAAGTTCTCAAACCTCCAAAGCCCAAATACTGAAGTATTAAACGGCGTAGTTCACTGCGTGCAAACATTCAAGTATAGTCGAAAGGACTCCGTTTTGATAGAAGACTAAACTATAATTTTCTGAAGGGTTAAAAATTTGTACTCATTTTTCCCTCACCTCAGATGTTCGATACATGTTAGTCTAAATTAAAGCCTTACGCCATATCGAGACGTTATAACAGCTCGAAGACACTAACGATCATAAAATTTTATTCACTTTTATTGCCAATGGAAGTGAAATTTTTGTTTCCTTGAAATTTTCATTCCACTTGAATTGCTATCGTGAACTTTCCGCGGACATTTTAATTCACAATAGTTGATTTTGTTTGCAACAGCTGTTTATTGTTTACAAAATGTCATAAAAAATTTCACAACAGGAGTAATTTGTTGACGTCAAAAAAGTTAGTTAACAAGAAAAGTGACAAGGGAGATATTTCAAGTGAAATTTTGATTGGCGATTGCGATGATTATTTCATCTGAAAGTCTTGATAATTGGCTTCAATCAGAGGATTTAACCTCTTTTATATCGTGTTTCTTCTTTGAGATATCTTAAGCTAAAGCTTGTAACAGTTATAAAGCCAATGAATCGATTATGTATGCCAACCGTACTTCAGTTCCGTTATCAGGTTACAAAATAATACAATGTTTTCAGTCTGAAAATGGCTCCAGTCAAGCAAAAGCTCATTGAACGAGCATTATTAATGAATAAAATATTCATTATTTATAAAGTTTCCAAATTAAAGTTAAAAAACATCTGCAATTTCATTTTGGCCTCTGGCTATGAAAATTGATGTAGAAGATAAACTCGTTGTTCAGTTTCAGCGCAGTTCAAACGTTTTGAAAATTTTACAAAATTTTAATATCTGGTTACGACCCATATTATACCTCGAAAACTGATGTAGAAGACAAACTCGTGGGTCAGTTTCCGCGCAGTTCAATCGTTTAGAAAATTTTTGAAAATAGCATTAATAATTCAAAGTTTACTATTGTGAATGAACAATAATTTAATTTTCACCATTATTCCCGATTGTTAGTTAGTGAATGAAATGTCACGTATATGTAATATATTTTTCCTAAAGATTTGACATCAGTTGTTCGAGATATAGCATTCTTAAGTGGGAAAACCTTCAATTATATGACAGATTCCAATTTAGAGAAAATATTTGTTGAGAATGTGGCTAGAAAAGCTCCTTCTCAAAACAGTATTGAAATATAGTACATTTGTATTGAAATGCATAAAGGAGACTTTAATACATGTAATGTCAAATGTTTCCTTTATGTAATTTGCCATATTTCTTTTGTTGTTGTAACACAATGTAATTTTAAAAATGAAATTGTATATTAAAGTTTCTACAACATATTTAGTTTTGAATTTCAGACATTGTATTCAAAAATTTTAGCGAAAACTTACAAAAACATAGAATTATGCATGATCTACGTGATTTTTTTAAATTATTTTTTCATAATGATTAAAATATAACCCAAATATTATGTATGTATGTATAAAAAACCTATTTCTTAGCTAAAGTGAAACATTTAGGCATGTCACAGATTTGATATAAACTAAGAATAAATAAAAATTTTAATAAAATTGGAAATAAATAACAAATTCATAATGTACAATATTTTTGTAAAAATAATTTTATATTATTTTTCAAAAACTCTATGGAACTGCCTAATTGTTTTCTTTTTAACAAAAACTGCTTCAAACAAAGTTTTTATAAATACAAAATTATCATATAATTTTCATAAATTTTCATATTCTATTTTTGTTGTTCTTTAAACGATTTGTTAATTGACTGAATAGCCTCCTTGTATTAGCCCAGTTGCACACACATTTCACACACTCATTAACTACAGACTAAATACTCTACACTAAATACTAAAGAAGAATTATGACTTTATAATACTTTTAAATTAAAATTTTAAAAAAAGTTTACTGTATGTATTTATATATGTTACTAAATTAATGTTTTTTGTTTATAAGTTTATTTTATTTTTAATCTTATTTAAAAGAAATTATATATTAATATTATGATTAGAAATTTTTAATTATTATAATTATTTTATTTAATATATATAATTTTACCAGTACATAACCACACATAATACTACTACTTATACTATAGTCCTTTTCTAAAATATAAATTAATTTAATTATTTTTATATATAAAAAAACACAAAATATTTAACAAAATATTCATAAAACTATATTGCTAAAAGAAAATTAAAATAAAATAAAAGAAATATTTATAAATTTCTTGTGTAAAATTTATTTAAATCAAACACACTTTTAATACCTTAAAACCAACAACTACAACTATTGAGATTACAAAAATAAACAAACAAAATATATAAAAATAACAAAAATCCACTTCTAAATATACATATATCTTCTATACTACATATTAATTTTTATTTAATTAATTATTTTATGCATTAAATTATTTTTGAAACTAAATGACAATTATCAGTTTGTATTTATATTCATTATATGATCATTTTTTGTTTGTTTTAAATATTAAAAAAAAAAACTATTTGTATCATTATTAAGTAAAAAAGTATGAGTAAATTTTTATCCAAATTTAAAATTGTTTTACATACGAAAATTTTTTTTCAAAATTAAATTAAAAATTATTTTTGATCAAAATATTAAAAAAAAACATTTGTTGTTTTCTATTTATTTAATTGGCTTTTTAAAAACGGTAAGAGTATTAAGTTTTTTTCTCTATTTATGATTTATAATATCAAAATTATATATTTTTGTGAAAAGAAAAATTTATTAAAATTTATTATATTTAATTTAGAGACGACTTATTGCGCTTTTCAAATTCGAGTAACAATTTTTCAATATTTTTAAATTTTAAATTTATTAATACAAAATCGACAAGGAGAAAAATCAACTATAGGGATTGTGGTGTATTCATCTTACAAATTTAGTATCCAGACATGTAGATTATAACATTAAAAATTCATGTAAATTCGCTTGGTTTTAGAACATCGATTTGCCGCGGAAAGGATTTTGCACTGAAATGACCCGAGAAAAAGGTTTTCGTTAATAGAACACTACTGGCTACCAGGTAGTGATAGGGCCTAATTTTGATTATGACTCCAATATACAAACTTTTGTGGGTCTATGACTAAAATTTCGATTATCTTTTTTCTTACTTGATATTTTTTTGGACTGGGTCTATTTTGTGGGTCTATGACTAAAATTTCGATTATCTTTTTTCTTACTTGATATTTTTTTGGACTGCAAAACTTTGACAAATTACAGTGCAAAATATTAATCACTAACTATACCCTCTTTAACTCTAACTTCTCTAACAGTTTCCCAGATATACGAATTTTTATATTTAATTCATATGGGATTATTACTCAAATGTTCATATGAGTGTCAGAGTTCTTCGTGCAGAATTTATGATTCTAGCTCTAATAGTTTCCCAGATATACGAATTTGTGTACTTAATTCATATGGGAGGTGACAGCCCCCCAAATAAAAGTGCGCCCATTTTTTCCCAAATATTCAAATGGATGTTAAAATTCTTCTCACAAAATTTTATGATTCTAGCTCCAATAGTTTCCTAGATAAGCGAATTTTTGAATTTATTTTATATGGGACGTACCACGCCCATAAAATCTAGTCTAGATATACGTATGTTTGTATTTAATACGTGCTAAGACCCCTCATGAAAGTCCGCCTATTTTTCTCCTAAATATTATCATGCATGCTAAAGGTCTTTGTGCAAAATTTTAATATTTTATCTAGAATAGTTTCCCAGATAAATGAATTTTAGTATTTAATTCAATCCAGTCCTAATCATTCATGTTGATACTAAAGTGCTGTTATATTTTCTCAGATATACCAATTCAAAATTTTCTTTTCACTATAGCTAGGCTGCCCAATTTATACTCATGTATTCATTGTATAACTCTTGCAGTTTCTAAAATATATGCGATTTTTAATACTTATTTTGTATGTTGTCGTGGCACGTCGCCCACTTAAAATTTTGATGTAAAAAATAGCCTACAGTTCCTTTCAGACATTCAGGAAGAGCCGTTTAACTGTCTATAAAGTCCAAACAAACAAACAAACACAAAAAATTATATTATTACACATATTGTAGATCAAAATAATAACTGCAGAATGAAAATCATTTTTGATTTTTCAATAGATTTTTGATTTGAATCAAATCGGATGCACAGGCGACTATAGTATTCATTTCAGATATGAATCACTGCATACGATGCACTCTTGTGATTAGTTTGCAATGCCCCTAAGTAGTATTAGGACTGCATAGCAAATAGGTCTAAGTCCTTTATCGGTTAGGGTCCTCAGGAGGCCAATGGTAAAGGAATAAGCGATACAAAATCTTACTCCCAAATGTGCAACGAAAAAGTTTTATGGTACATCTCGCAGCACATATATCTATTCCTCGGCATATAGTTGATATAGTCACGGAGCGCCCACTTAATATGAAACTAAGCATTCGATAAAAGTAACAATTTGTATGTTATTAAAATCACATTTGATATTATAATTTGCTATTGAATTGTTCACCCAAGTATATACATACATATGTATGTACATAATGTCTATCTCTTTTAAAGCTGATTCCACTGATCTTCAAGTCTTTTTCTGAAATTGTGGTTTTAAACAAAAAGATAATCGATATCTATTCTAAGATTTTAAGTAGGAAGTACGTTAGGCTTATCGATCGATAGAGATAAGTTGGAAAATACCATACGGATCTGCATCTGATTTGTGATATTTGATGCCATATTTCTTAATTTTTCTAAACAATGCGTAATCAAAAATCTATTGAAAACCCTGATATAATATAAGGAAAAAGTAACTCAAAACTTCGCACGAGTTACATATTTTATAACCATCTTAAGTGGTTAAGAATAAAATGAGCAGCACCATAGCTCCAATACAAAGTAAGTATTAATTACACTGGTGGACAAAATTTAAGTTTTTTTTTCGTTCTACATAAACTACTTTATCAAAAAGTGCAATTTAAATAGCGAAAAAGTAAGTAAAGTCCATTCTTATAGCATAAACAAGCTATACCCAGTGTGCTTTGCTACCCTAAAAGCAATATAAATAAAAAATCTTCTTAATAATTTTAAAGATTCTAACTGTAATGTTTTCCAGAGATGCATTTTTTCCAAACGTTAATTAAGATTTTAATGTAATCGATGACAAAGTAAAAAAAAATCTAATATTTTCCCAGATATACGAAATTTTGTATTTAATTCATATAGGGGGTGCCAAGACCCCATTGAAAGTCCGCCCGTTATTCTCTAAATGTTCACATTAATGTCAAAGATCTTCATGTAGAATTTGAAGATTCTAGCTCTAATAGTTTCTCAGATATAGGAATTTTTCTATTTAATTCATATGGGAACTCACAGCCCCCAGATGAAAGTCCGCCCTTTTTTTCTCCAAAATATTCATATGTATAATAAAGTTCTTCTTGCAATATTTGAAGAATCTTGTTCTATTAGTTTCCCAGATAAGCGAAATTTTGTATTTAATTCATATGTGAGGTGCCAAGCCCCCCATTGAAAGTCCGCCCGTTATTCTCTGAATGTTCACATGAATGTCAAAGTTCTTCAATTAAAATTTGAAGATTCTAGCTCTAATAGTTTCTCAGATATAATAATTTTCCTATTTAATTTATATGGGGGCTCCAAGCCCCCCATTACGAAAGTCCGCTCTTTTTTCTCCAAAATGTTCAGATGAATATTTAAGTTCTTAGTACAAAATTTGAAGAATTTAGTTCTATTAGTTTCCCAGATAAACCAATTTTTGTATTTTATTAATATGGGAGGTACTGCTCCCCTCATTGGTAGTGCGCCAATTTATTTCCCAAAATGTTTACATGGATGTTAAAGTTACTCGTGCAAATTTTTAATATTCTAACTATAATAGTTTCCAAGATAAACGAATTTTTGTATTTAATTTATATGGGAGGTGCCACGCTCCCTAATGCTAATCCGCCCACTGTTTGTCTTAAATAATTATATTGATACTAAAGTTGCTCCAACAAAATTTGAAGACTCTAACTATTATATTATCTCAGATATACTAATTTAATATTTTCTTAATATGGGCGTGGCACGTCGCCCACATGAAATTTCAACATAAAAAGTAGCCTATAGTTCCTTCCAGACATACAGGAAGAAACTGTGAAAATTTCAGGAAAATCAGTCCAGCCGTTTAGCAGTCTATAAAGCACAAACAAACAAACAAACATACATACAAACACACTTTTATTTTTATATATATAGATTCATATGGGAGGTGCCTCGCCCCCTATTGCTAGTCCGCCTATTTTTTGTCCTAAATATTCATGTTGTTAATAAAGTAGCTCCGAAAAATTTTAGAACTCTAACTGTTATATTTTCTCAGATATACTAATTTAAGATTTTATTATATGGGAGGTGTCACGCCCACTATAGATTTCCACATATGTTCATATGGATGTCAAAGTTGTCCATACAAAATCTGAGGACTCTAGCTGTTGCAGTTTCTGAGATATGCAACTTTTAATTATTATTTTGGATGTAGGCGTGGCACCTCGCCCACTTAAAATTTCTAAAT